AAAGCCCCCGAGGATGCTCGACCTCAAGGTCTGGCTCAGAGCTGGGGCTCCGGGCTTCTGGCCTTGCCCCGGACCCTGCAGACCCTGCCCTCTTTGACCGCCCCCAGCCTGTCCCATCCCCCCTAACCTTTCTCTGCCTTTCTTCACAGCTCACCTGCCCAGGTGGGCTCCCCGCCAGCCTCCTTACCTGCCCAGGTGAGCTCAGACTTGCCCCTACACCTCTGAGCTCTTGCAGGCTCAAATCACTGGGGAACCCCCAGCCAGGACACTCTGGGGCAAGGCTGGTGTCAGTGCCTGGGGGCAGGGAGAGGGACTCTAGAGGCCACCGAGAGGCCACCAGGCCACCGAGGTTGCAGGCACAGCAGGAGCAGAGACCAGGGGTGGGAAGTTGGCCAGCCTGGCTGTGTGGGCCTGTGGGGCTGAGGGCAGGAGTGGGGGGGGGCGCCCCTCTCGCAGTGAGACTCAGCAGCTGTGCCCCAGTGACCATCAGGATCTTCCTGGTGTTTTCCAGCCTCTCCTCTCAGGGTCCCCAGCTGGCAGGACCAGGTCCCCGGGCGATGCCATCACGGGCAGGCTCGGGCAATGTGGGCGGCCTGGCCTCCCTGCCTCAGACATGGCCCGGGCACTATGGCCGGTGGTCTAGTGCCGCCCTACCTTGTGAGCCCTGATAAAGCCCCTCACGCTTGGCCTCGGCCAGGGGTCTGCTTGCCCTGGCCTGTCAGCAGCAAGCAGGTGCCCAGGCCAGCTCAGAGGGACTCTGGATCCTGCCCTGCCCTTTCTCTGCCCAGCCACCGGCCCTGGGCAGGAGGGAGCGGGCGCCCACCAGCTGACCTCCCCACCTCCTCCAGGCAGCCCCAACACACAGCTCCCCAGAGGCGGCCGGTGCCAGGCCCGGCGGCAGTGTGCTCCCAACAGCCCTTGGAGGAGGCCTGTCTGTGGGGGGCCGAGAGCCGTGAAGGGGGAGCCCCTGGGGCTGGGGCCTCCTGACACGAGCCCAGGCCAGTCAGACCCAGGCCAAGCGCTGCCTGCCAGCTGCACACCTGCCCCGGGGCGGCCCCTCGGGGCTCTCCAGAGCCCCCTCCCCCTCTGGCCTCAGCCCCCCACTCACTACTCCTCCAGTGGACGCCTTTTATCCCAACTTCGCACTCCTGGGGCGCCGAGGCCTGCCCGGGGAGCCCACACTTACTGCCAGACCCGGCTCCTTAGCCCCGGGCGGGGCGGCGGGGCCATCTCGGCCCCAGGCCTCGGTGCCTCGGTGCCTTTCCTGGCGTCATCGTGGCTCCTGCTCTGAACCCCTCTGGGGCCCGGCTGTGACCCCGAGTCGAGCCAGCGTGGGCACCGTGCCGGCCTCCCGCACCGGGCACCGTGCCGGGCACTGACGACTGAAAGCCACCGAGCACGCACGCCTGCCCTGGACACTGCTGGTGTCCTCAGGAGGCGGCTGCGCAGAGAAGCCCTCAGGGCACGCGTGGGCACTCTGCCCAGGCCCCAGCGTGCAGCCTAAGGGAACCCGCTCTCGCCCTCCGGCGGGCGGCAGGTGTCCGAGGGCAGTAAGGTGCCTGCTGCTCTTCAGCGGAAGAGAGGAGCGTCCAGCCTCTCTCAGCTCAGGTCCTGCAGACACAGGACGTCGCCGGACACAGGCCAGGCCCGGCTGGCTCACGCAGGGGCGGACGAAGGAGAAAACTGAAGGACCAGCCCGCCCCAAAGTGGGCGCGCTGGAGGGCGGCGACCCTGGGGGCACAGCGCTTGGGCACAGCGCTTGGGCAGGGCCGCACCGGCCCCCTGCTGCGCTCAAAGCCAACCGATGGAGACTGGACGGTGGCGGCTGAAGCCAGCCTGACCAGCGTTACCATCCACCAGCGGGGGGCGCTGGGCGCCTGCTCCGGGCCAAGCGGCCTCCCACAGGCTGTCGCCCTGGGCCCGCCTCTCCCACACCAGCCGCCAGCTGCTCCCTGCCGCGCTCCACCACGGAGGGGACCCTCTGCACTGCCAGGAAGCACCTGCGGCCACTAAACAAAGATGGACGACAGGGCCGGCCCGGCAGAGCTGCGGGAAGGGAGGCGCGGAGCCTCAGGCTGGCAGAGGCCGGGCTCCGGGACAGCTTTTGGACGAAGCGGCGACAGCTCTGTCCAGGGTAAAGTGGGAGGGCAAAGCCCTGGGTGACCCCGAGTCCTCAGACAGAGTCTCGGGCGTGGCGTATTCGCCAGCGCGGCCTTGAGCGCCTAGACTGGTCCGCAGCCTTGGCTGTTCGGAAGGAAATGCGACCGGGATTCTGGAAAGGTCAGGAAGAGAAAGGCGGCTGACAGTAGTTGCGGACAACTGTGGTGGCCCAGAGAGGTCAAGTAATTTGCCTGGGGTCACACAGCAGTCCCCAGAAGAAGCAGGACTTGCGCCTGGTCCCCGGCCCAGAAGTGACTGCGGCAGGCACAGCGTCACTTAGGGCGGGGGGCGGGCTGCTCGCAGGACAGCGGGAACCCGGGCTTGCGTGACCCCTGGGGTGGAGAGCGGTCGCCGTGGGACCCTGAGAGACTGCTGGGCTCTGTGAGGAAGACAGGATCTGCTCCGGAGAGGGGAGAGGAGCCCCAGTCCTGGCTCACAGCAGGAGGGGGAGAGGCCGGGGAGCCCGCCCGGCGTGAGACTGCTGGGAGGGGCGTGACGGGGCATCACGGTGGGCGGCCGCAGCCGCCTTGGCGCTGCTGGGCTGGCAGGGACCTGCCTGCCCAGCACCGGCCCTCCCAGACACTAGGATGGGCTGCTGGGCAGCGCCCGTCCTACCCACCACCCAGCTGGGGTCCAGCGCCCCGTCCTACCACAAGGCCAGCTGGGTCCCGGAGGAGTGGCCGAGACCCCAGTCCTGGCTGGGGCTCCTGGCTCGCTCCCACCCTATCACACTGGCCCCAGAGCCGAAGACCCGTTGTTCTGCGCTGCGGCGACCACACACTGGGGTTTCCCGGGCACAGTTGAGGGGCACCGTGGAGCCCAGAGTGCAGCCAATGGCTGCCTGGCAGACGGCTGAAATGGGGGAGGTCTGGGAGAGGAGCGGCAGGGTTCCTTCCACTAAAGCCTCAAACTGAGATAGCCTGGGGAGCGGCAACGGACAGCCAGGTGCCCGCTGGGCAGGACGAGGAAGGATGGGGTGCTGCCTGTTGCCCCAAGGGGTTCCGGGAGGCCACCAGGGCGCTTCCACTCTTGTGAAAGGGCGGTTTCTCCTTTCTACATCTGCTGCAATCCTGGGCACAGGCTGTGTTTTGTTTGCAGCTGAGACTCTTACAAAAGCGCTTCCCATAGCAGCACCCCAAAACGTCGCCTCTCCAGGGTGCTGCAAGCCCTGGGTTGTTTGTGGGGAGGCAGGGCCACACAAAGGGGGGATTCCGTTAGCTGCCCCAGCACGTCTTCAGACTGCGTCACCAACAAGCCACAGCCACCTTTGCAAAGGGCACCTCTGGCGGGGTCTGGGCAGGCCCGGCCACCTCTGTGAGCTCCGGCAGTGACCTCTGGTCAGGGCGTTCCGGTGACAGTGACCTACGGCTTGGTGCCAAGGGACCAGCGCCGGCTCCCCACCCTCCCGGAGGACCCCGGTGGGCTGGTTCAAGGCAGAAGGGCCCCCAGGCTCCTTGGGTGGTGGGCTGCCCCCCCTTGCCCACCCCTGCCCGCTGCTGCCCTGCCCCCCGTGACCCCTTGGGGCCCCTGGCCGGAGCGGGCTGTGGCAGCAGCATGGGGAGCCCTGCCCCTTGAAAGCCACCTCCGCAGCAGCGAGGCATTTGCTCAACCTCTCGGGGTCCCTGCAGGCCTCCCCTGTGAAGTCTGCAATGTTCAAACTGCAACCAGCAAATCCCCCAGGACCGTGGGGAATTAGCCCGGGCGGGCAGATGAAAGCCAAGCGGAGCGGGGAGACCAGCCGCCTACCTGCGGGCACCCGGGGCCAGGCCAGCAGCAAGCAAGCCAGCAGCAGGGGGGCCGGGCTGAGGCCGGGCAGGGCCCACCACCTCCGGGCCCGGCCGTCCATCGGGCCCTGTCCTCCTTCCTCTTCGGCTGGCTCCGGGAGGGGCAGCCTGCCGGCCTGCCCAGCCCCAGTTCCCCTTCGGCTCCCCACCGGCTCCGCCCAGCTGCCCTGCTTCCTCCTCTCCCGCACCCTGGGCGTTCCGCTCCCTCCCTCGAGCGGGGTGTGGGAGGCGCCTTGGGCAGGTGGGGGCCTCAAGCAGCCCCCGGCCCAAGGGCCGATGGCCTGTCCCTCCCGGCCCCCGAAGACACCTGTGCCGCAGGAGGATGCAGCTTAAGGCCGGTGGCTACCGGGCTTGGCCTGGAAGCCCCCATGCACGCAGGCAGGCTTCCCCTCAGAAACAGCCAGGAGCCCCTCGAAGTTCCTCAGAGAGCAGGGCTGGGGGGAGTGAACCAGCCTGGGGCTCGGGGCAGGGCCGGCTGCGAGGGGGCAGGCTGAGAGGGGGCTGACCGCAAGGGGTGCGGGCTGGGGGGGACCGGCCGAGGGGGGGCTGACCGCGAGGGGGCAGGCCGTGAGGGGGGCTGACCGCAAGGGGTGCGGGCTGGCGGGGACAGGCCGCGAGAGGGGCTGACCGCGAAGGGGCAAGCCGAGAGGGGGGCTGACCGCGAGGGGGCAGGCCGAGAGGGGGGCTGACCCAGGCACGGAAAGCAGCCCAGACCCCCACCTGCCTTGGTGGGAGCCAGCTCCAGCCTTCACCCCAGGGTCTCCCTCTGCTTTGCTTGAACAATGAGAGCGCTCCCGAGGGGGGCCGGGGGCCGCTCAGGGAAGGCGCTTCCCAGCGGCGGGGGCGGCGGGAGCCCAGCGGTATCGACTGCGGATCCGTCACCATCGCCGTGATCCCCATCGCATCTGTCACAGCGAGACACAGATAATCTGCCTCACGCTGTTCCCTGCTCCTGGGGCAGGTTGTCTAAGCACCTCGATGCCATGGTGACAGACGGCGTTAATGTCTGCGCCGAGGGGCCTCCAAGGAGCCCGCCGAGTCCCTGCCCCTCTCGGAGCCTCTTGGCGACTGGGCGCTGAGGTGGGCGCCAGGCTGCCCGGAAGGAGGGTGCTGGCCTGCCCTCGGCGTGCAGCCGGGCTCAGGGCTGCCCTGCCCAGACCTGCCCCAGAGGGCGCGGCCACCCCAGGTCAGTACCCTGGGGCCTCGGCGAGCCTGGGCGGCACAGTCCGTGCTGTGACCCTGGGCAGGCGGGCGTGCACCAGGAGTGGAGCCGGGGGCGCCCTGAGGGGTGCCTAGTGCCCAGCAGTGGGGTCCAGGTCCAGGTCCAGGTCCGGGGAGGAGGCCCTCGGCCGGCAGAGCAGGGCTGTGACTGGGGAGGAGGCGGAGAGGGGGTTTCTGGACTGCCCCCCAACAGGGCAGGGCCTCGGTGGGGTGTCTGCGGGGCCCAGGACAGAAGGCAGCGCTCAGGACCGAGGCAGCGGGAGGGAAGCCCCAGCTCTTCAGAAATCCCCCCATCAAAACCGCCCCTCGGGGACCCGCCTGGTGTCTGCCTCCATCTCCCTTCTCTCGCTTGGCGGGAGTTTGAGCTCGGCAGGAGAGAGGCCGGGGGTGAGAGCAGGGCCTCGCCTGTTGGCATCACCAGAGGCGGCACAGCCAAGGTCCCGGCCACACAGTGTGCCAGGGAAGGGCCCCTGGGGAGGCCCGGGCCCCCCAACACCTGCCGGGCCCCGCCCTCCGCTCAGCAACGGCAAGGAGGGAGGCCGAAGGAAGAGCGGTGCTCGGGGGGCTTCCTGAAGGCAGTGGCCACCCTAAGGAGGAGGAAATGGGGTGCGGTGTGCCCCACAGTTCAGAGGCGCTTGTCCACAAAGCCACTGTCCACAGCCACTGCCCAGCCTCGCCCCACGCACCCCACGAAGTGCCTGCTGCGTGCTGGGCTGTGGGGCACAAGACGCGTCCCTCTCGGGGAGGAAAACTGGCCCCCACCGGGTTTCCCAGAGTCCCGAGAGAGCCACCCGGGGCCAGGGCAGCCGGTCCCTGGCCGCCACCCTGGTCCCTCCTCCTCGGCTCCCCTGTGCCTCTCGCCAGGTAGCGCTGCCTCACAGGAAGCCCAAGTGTGGTGGGAAGGGGCCGCTCCCCTCAGCTGCTGCCGAAGCCACTTCTTTCCTCCCCACAGACTCCAGCCCCAGGAGGGGTCCCCCAGCTGGAGGAACGCCTCAGGGCGAACCCCTGCACTGCGAAGGGGCCTCTCCTGGGGACCCAAGCACCCCGGCGTGGAGAGAGCCCCTCCCTCCCGGGTTGGTCTGGTTTGCCTTCGAGTCCCCCTTGTCCTCCAGCAGCTGAGGTCCCCAGCTGTGAGAGTGGACCGACCACAGGCCCAGGCGACCCCCCATGGCGGGCTGGGCTGGCCCGCGGCAGACCGGCCTTCTTGCTCGTCGCCTGGGCCCGTCACCAGGAGCGGGCACACCCCCGGGCGCCGCTACCCTGCCGGCCTGGAGGCCCATCTGGCCGAGCCACGAGCCCTCAGCTGCAGCGCCCTGTGCCTTTGCTTGCTCCATGCCCATCTCAGCTCCAAAGGTCCCCCATTCTCCGCTACCCCCGTCCTCGCAGAAACCCATGGGGGGGACGGGGGTCAGACTTACAGATGTGGAAGCTGGAGTTCAGAGAGGGTGAGCACCTGCCCAAGGCCACACAGCGGGTCGGTGAACAAAGACCGGCCCTTCTGCCAGCAGGTCACGTGACAACCCTCACCCTACAGATCCAGGGACAGAGGAAGGTCCAGTGACTGGCCCTGGTGGCCACGAGGGGTCCCGGGTACGCGCCAGGCTTCACTCTTGGACTTGGCCCCGATTAGACAAGACTCCCCCTGCCAGCTCTGATGGGGGAGGCAGCAAGAGCTGTGCCCCTCCCTGGCCCTGCCACACTGAAAATAATCCTGAGAATCCGGGGAAACAGAAAACAAAGGAGGCGTCTTTCCCGACATTCCAGGCCCACCCTGTGCCAGGCCTTGTTAGACTCGAACCTTGGCACAACTGTGTCTCTGCAGACCACAGGAGGCTAAGTCCCCGGGAAACGTGGGGGCCAAGTGCCAGAGCCTCCAAGGTCCTGGGGGGGTGCACCCCCTTCCCCGCTGCGACCGCAGGAGCGACCCCATTGTCCTGTGCCGGTGGCGCCACCTGGTGGTAGTCGTGGGAACGCCCTGGCTGGGAAGTCCGTCCCTTTCCCCCAGACCTCTGGGGCGCCGGAGCACAGCGCGGGTCTCCATGGCAACATGAGCAAAGGGGCAGGCAGCACCAGCCCTGCGGTGGGCCAGGGGCCGTGGGGATGGGTGCAGGAGGTGGCGGCAGCAGGGCCCCGCTTTCCTGTCCAGGGCACACGGGGGCCTCCCACGGACAGGCCGGCTCTGCTCTCACCACGCCTGGGGCGCCCCACAAGTGCCTGGGGACAGCCCCCCAGCCTGGTATTGGCCGCCAGTAACCAGCTCCAGCTTTGCAGACAACTGGAGACTTTCCCAGCAGGCTCCCCGCTGCGTGCACAGGGGGCTCAGCCAATTAAGGAAACAATTAGCCTCCCGGCTAATCCGTGTGTGTCACCCCACACGGTGCTGTGCTCCACGGACAGAGGCTCCGGCTCCTGCCGGCAGGGCGTGGGGGTGCTGGGGGTTCCTGGCCCACCTGCCTCTCTGAGGCTCTGGGTGGCCGGGGTCTGCAGTCTAACAACTCCGGTTCTCACACACCCAGGGCGGCTTCCCAAAGGGCCGTGGCCGGGGTGAAGGGGGGCCGGGGCCCTGTCCCCTGCGCTCGCCCCGTCCTGCCTCCTGGGAAGACCAGCCTGGACCTGGGAGTCTAGAGACAGCCCCTCAGTTTGCCTCTGAACTTGACTCCTAAGCCAGTGGGGGTGGTTTCCCCACCCTGCTGTGCTGCGGATGAAACTGCAGATCTGAGGCGAGAGCAGTTTGCAGAGAATAAGACGGGTTGAGAAGATGTTGGCCTTCAGCCTGTACAGGCCTATTTCACCGAGGCCGCCTGAGGGGGTGGGGGCTCGCAGAGGACTGGACAGCAAGGGAGAGGAGGCCGGCTAGACCCTGCGGACCAGTGGCTACGGGTGAGGAAACTGGGGGGCCGCGGAAGGGAGGCCTGGGGGGAGGAGAGAGGCCCCTCGGGAAACCTCCCCACCAGCCCCACGGAGCCCTTCCTGCCGGCTGGGCCCTGTCAGGACTGCAGAGGGGCGGCGGATGGCCTGCTCAGGGCTTCTCCCACTGCCCGAGACCCCTCCCGCCCCTTCCCTGGAGGGCTCTCCCTCCCCCTCCCTGCCTGCAGCTTCTCTCACTTCTCTTCATTGACTGCTGCTGGGTCAGCGCCCTCACGGCCCCTAGTCCTGGGCAGACCTGGGTTGAAGTCAGACGGCCTTAGGTTCACAGCCCCCCCCCCCAATTCCTGCAGGACTCTGAAGTCCCCACCAGTGACCCCTGGGGAATTCTGCTTCATTCATTCAACAAACCTCTCCAGAGCCTGCTCTGGGCTGGGCCCCGTCGGGGTGCCCTCCCTCTGGCCGAGCCTCACAAGCCCTGTCTAAGTCAAACCCAGTGGGCACCCAGAGTGAGGGGACAAAGCCCAGAGAGAAAGCTCTGGTCACAGAGCCGCGTGGCCACCACGTTCCCAGGGTCTGAGAGAGGTGGGCAGGAGGGCTGCGTGTCAGGCTGAGAAGCTGGGCTCAGCCTGGGCTCAGGCCCGAGGCTCCCCCCCCCTTCCCTTCAGGTGACTAAAACTGCTTATTTCTCCCTTAGCAGTGACCATGCAGTTCGGGGGGGTGGGGGGGCTGGCGCCACATTCGGCCTCAGGCAGCTTGAGGACAGTTCTGAGTGAAAAGCCCTCTTCAGACTGGCTCGCTGGAAGTGAGGACACGTCCGGCACATGAGAGGGAAAGCCCGAGCTGTACATGTGCCCCCCAGGGGGACAGCCCGGCGCATGGCCAGCGGTTCCAGGCATGCCGGTGGCACTGACCAGCCTGTCCCAGTCAGGATGGGGGAAGGGCTGCATCACCTCAGCCCTGGTGCCCAAGGTTTCTCTCACCCGACGCCTCCGCCAGGGATCCTCCGCCCCAC